GTGTCCTGCCTTCCCTGGTGACCGGATCCAACATTGCCGGTTTCACCAAGGTGGCTGCCGCCATGAAGGACCAGGGTGACTGGTGGTAAATGCGAAAGCCGACCCTACGGCTTATGTCATGACGATTATGCAGTTTGATGTTCCCTTTCAGCGCGATGGATAGAGGCGCCGGTGTTTTGGTAGTTTTAGATGGATGCATAATGATATCCTTTTCAATCCATAATCCATAAATCTTGTAGTTGCATATACCATTCTAATCGTAGACAAACATTCTCAAACTCACAATCATCACTAATGCTTGACGCATGCATCATAGTCCCACTATATGCACAAGCCCATGGAACGCAGTTCACTAGTACTTAGTTTATCCTTCGTCCTATCACATCATGACCGAAAGTCTAGATACGACCATATGTACATTGCTCTGCATGATTGAAGTAAATCTCACGAGTCATGTCAATTACCTTAATCCATATTCATTATTCACACCGGGTAACCATGAATCAGCCAAATGCCCAGTCCTCATCCTAATGACAGTTCTTCCTTACTAAGTCCTGATCGACTAGTGATTAGCTGAGATGACAGTTCTGAAAAGCAATGCACTTAACGAACTCTTTCATATAACGGCAGAGGCTGTTGTGATCCCCTCACGAGATATGCCTCCTAAGACTATTCGTGTCTCTCCCCAAGACTGCTTATGATTAATTGGGTTATGGGAGAGTTGGGGGTGTTGGAGATGGCGTCAAGACCACGTGCATCTACCTAGCAAGCAGGAAACTAGTACCTCAGTGTGTAGTCAAGTCTATGTCGGAATACTCCTACTGCGACTTATGATGAACGTTACCTTTTCTTCCCTTTCCTTCCTATCCGTCCTATCTTATTCCTGTAGCCTCCCAAATCTGGTTGGTCAATGCAGTCTTTGTTTGGTCATGAGGTATACTACTTACTTAGTAGGCACAGCTTCACTCCTGTGGGCATACAAGGGTCTCTCTCTCTCTCCCTTCCCCACTAACCCTAATTGTTGAGTAGATTGTATCTCGGGTGTATTTACTAATGTTGTACTATGAGGTAATCGTAGGTAGTAGCGTTGTTACTACTTCTCTCAGGCCTACATTATCTCTCTGATTACTCTTCATCAACAATGGGTATAATGTCAGTATTAATAAATGCACTAACTACTTCATCATAGCTAGTTCGCATATATGCAAGTATATATGTACAGGACTCCAGCAATGCAACAGCCAACTCCACGCTAAAACACAATCCAAAAGTATAGGGTATCATGGCAAATCTCCTCCCGTAGAGATAGTCAAAACAACAATGGTATAGTAAGATGAAAGAAGAGAAAGGAAAAAAGGCTAATCAGCCCGCTCTGCACGCTCTCCCCCCTGCTCTGGCCATGGCGCCAATTCATGCATCAATCCTCCCGACGTCTGCTTCGTGTGGTCGGCTAGCTGCACCGTCGGCAACGGCTCCGACACTACGCTACGCCGGCGCGAGAGGACCCCACCCACCGATGGGTTCTCCTTTTCGCGCGCCATCACGTTGGCTTTGATGCGACTGCGTCGGCGGGGATGCCGCAGATGCTCGTTTGGTACCGGGTCCACTTGCTTCTTGGCTGCCGGTACTACGTTGAGGTAGATGGGGAAGATGGCGCCCGCGCTGAATAGCGCTACCAGCACGCAGTAGGAATAGCGGATCCCGCCTACCAGCTCGGCAGCGTACTGCGCGAACGGGAAGAAGGCACCGCCGCTGATGGCCACTGTGAGCAGTACGGTCGCAGTCTTGGTGTGTCGACCGGTGCCGCGGAGTGAGATGGCGAAGATAATGCTGAATGCGCCGCTCTCGAACAGATACACCATCATAGCCATGGCCTCGGCGGTTCGCCCGGTCATTTGCATGCACAGGATGGAGAAGAGAATCATGCCGATGTAAGAGAGCATAAGTATCCAGCGGGGTTTGAGGAACCATTGCAGAAAGGCGGCGAGAAAGCGGCCGATCGCGAACACCGTGTGCGCGACCGTGAGCTGTTCAAAGGGACTGAGGTAGGACAGCGGGTGCACGGCGCGGACGTAGCTGTCGAAGCTCATCGAAATCACTTCTTGGCCGGCACAATAGAAAAACTGAGACCACACGCCGAGCCCCAGTGTAAGCCAGACCACGGGGACACCGGCGACAGTGGCCCGGTTGTCGGCGCGGCGGCGGTTGGCCAATTCCTCGAGATCCTCGTCTGATGCCTCTGGAATAGGCAGGTAATAGAACGCGAGAGCGAGGAGCACATCAAACAGTGCGATGCCCAAGTACGTCCACTGCACGTCAACTAGAGTGCTCACGTCGGTTACAGCTTTGAAGAGAACCTTCTTGGCCAGCAGCTGCGACACGACGCTGCCGATAGCCTGCACACCCTGCGAGATGTTCAGCCGAATCTCCGAATTCTCGAGCGGTCCGCATAGTGCAATGAACGGATTGGCGGCCGTCTCGAGCACCGCCAGTCCACTGCCCACAATGAAATTGGACACGATGAAACCAGGGTACGAGGTCAGTACGGCTGACGGCCAGAAGACCAGAGTGCCGCAGGCGTAGATGCACAGCCCGGTGATGAAGGTGCACTTGAACCCCCAGCGCTTCAGCACAACGCCCCCCACACACGTCGGCGCCACCAGATACCCCCCAAAGTAGACCGCGTGAAGACCAAACGACTGCCAGATGTCCAGACGCAAGATATCCTGGATCTGCTCATTCAGGATAGCCAGCAAGCCGTAGGCAAATCCCCATAGGAAGAACAATATGGTCGTCAGCGCGATCGGCGCGATGGACTCCTTGTTGCTCAGCTTCAACATGTTGGCCGGCTTCTTCATATTGACAAAATCGAAGAAGGTGATACTTGGGGGATACGACGTGGTGGTGGTGACGGTGTTCGTTCGGTTCTCGACATCCGGAGGCGCCTCGGGCGCGGTGGTCAACATATCAGCCAGATCCACCCGGGCCGAAGCGGCCTGACTGCTGCGACTCTCCGAATGCGACGGCTTATTGTCCTGTATAGCGGACTGCTGTGAGCGCGACGCGCGCCGGGCAGTAGGAGGCCCGGTGATGGTCGGGAGCTCAGGGGGAGGATCGGGGGCGGGCAGCGGAAGGTCTGTGGCCTGGGAGCTCCCGTCAGTGTCACGGATCAGCTTGGGGATGAGTCGCGCGACGAGCGGCTTGAGACTGGGAACACAGGCACAGATGACGGAAACGTTGACTTCTATGACGGACCACATGAATGAAAACGCCCCGTACCCTGGGGCGATCAGCAGGAAATAGGGAGAAAGAAAGGACAGGGGACGTACAGCTGAGGTCATCACCCGGAGTATCCTGCAGATGGACTTGTTTCAATGCGATCTGACGTGAGGTGGCCGCATCTTGAATGTAGGCAATGCGAATGACGTCGACAACGGCGACAAAGAATCCAAAACTGAAGGTGATGACGAGGATGATCTTTTGTTTGCGCGGCAGTCGCATTTGCGTAAGAATGGGATTGGGCAGGAAGAGAATGGCCAGATCAGTAACAATGTTGACCGGGGACGAGGACAGGTATAGAGTTAGGATATCGATGCACTTGGCACCCTCGGGCAAGGGATAGGAAACGGCGGCGCTGACGGGACGGCATTGGAAGACATTGACGAGGGTCAGGGCGAGACCGGCGGCATTGACGACGAAAAGGGTGACGTAGTTGGCCAAGCGAAAGACCTTCTCGCCTTGGGTGAGGGTTAGGTAGAAGACCAGAATGGAAGTTTTGACGGCCATGAGGGCCGGGTTCTGGGGCAGTCAGAGGGGAGCGATGGCGGAGGAAGGAGTCCCGGGCGACTCACGTAGAGGACGGTGAAGGCATAGTCGGCGCGATTGAGGCCTGCGCGCTGGTCCTCGCGAATATCGGAATCGTGCAGACCCAGACCTTTGTGGGTGGCATAGAAGAGGGAGAAGGAGAAGCCGAAGTCGAGGACCTGCGGGAAGATCGGAGATGAGGAGCTGACTCAAGACGAGAGGAAGGACGGGGAAAAGTAAAAAAAAACGTACCCAGGCCAAGAGCATCAAATAGTCATGGAGGGCGACCTTCTGGACAATAAAGATACGGGAGATAAAGCGCAGGGCCACGAAGACAGTTGCGATGACGAAGAAGACGATGGAGACGGTGAGAACCTCGGGCCGTTGGTCTTGCATGACGAAGTTGGGGCGACAAGGGCGAAGAGGGAAGACGAGGGGGGACAGGGAGGTCGGGCCATGATCGGATCAAAGCATGATCTTGGAGATGATATATAGGGAGATAAAAAGAGGGAGAGGTTATAGTGGAGAGGGAGATTGTGTGAGTAAAATGGTGGGAAAAGAGATGAGGTGAAGAAAGGGAAAAGTGGATGCAGAAATTGAGGGGAAGCGGAGACAAGAGAAAGAAGAGAAAGTCAAGTCAAGCCTGGAAGGTTAAAACTAAAAAATACTAATACTAATTAATACTAACAAAGTCCCAGTGTTTTTTTCCTTTGTGTGCGTGGGTCCCCCGGATTAGATAATAGCATTATATTAGTTGGTGATGATATTATGGTTTGATTCTGTTCAAAGGATCCAGGAATACGGTTAATTGGGACGATCCAAATAGCGAAGCCGACGATCGGCGGCTCCTCGCGTGTTGCGCCAAGATTGAAGCTGTTCGCAGCCATTCTTGGATGGTCTTGGAGATGTGCTGGACATTCCAGTTCCTCAGCCAGCCGGCCTTGAATGCAGGCTAAATTGCATAGTGGTCGTCCATCTTGCATGGAGTATGCAGAAATGCCCGTTAATAATTAGATAGTAAGCAAAAGAATATGAAAGGGGTACCAACAGTATACCACCAGTTGATTGATTTGGGTATACTGCAGGGGACGGGAGATGCATGGGATAATAACTATCCGTTTAACTTACTTCTTCTCTCCCACTATTTCTTCAACTATTCATAATCCCCGACCTTCCCAACCCTAACTGCCCAATATTGCTACTGATATGGCTGCATCGCATCTGCATCTGCCAAGTACCTTAAATAACTTTGAGTATCATCCACCAACTCAATTCTCAGTCCTTTCTGCTCTGCTGACTCCCGCCCGGCATCACATGGAGCCCTTCAAAATGTCCCAATTCGACGCCCGGCCATCGCCAGGCCATAAAACCCCGACCAGCAGCAACAGCAGCAGTCAGTCAGTCCCTCAATGCAGTATCTTCTCATGAAACCCGCCTTTCTGTTGGCCGTCCTAGCGACAGCCACCACAGCGCCAACCTGGACCCAGATCATCTGGCACGACATTCAAGCTGCGACCAGCTGCACTGCCTGCGAGGTGACTGACTGACTGTTCATCCAGATTGTCATGGACCACGCTGATCTGCGCCCATAGACGCTGCTCAATTCACTTCAACAAGCATCTCAACTCGGTCCATCGACCCTCCAGACCATCCTCACCGAAGTATGCATGTTAAGCAAGGTAAATAATAAATACTCTACTACCGTCTCCACCTCGGACATTTCACTAATCTTATCCTCCCAGATCCTCGACGCCGACTTCTGCACCGGACTCATAGGCCCCCAAGTCCCCAGCGCATACTATGTGCTTCGTCAACTGTCCATTCCATCAGACACCGCGCAAACCTTATGTGCCAGCGTGTTGGATTTGTGTCCGTATCCGCCGATTCCTCCTATCAAACTGACCTTCCCTCCCCCATATTTCCCTATCACCACCGCCACTACTACTACCCCAAACAACTACAAATATGACAACATAACCCTCCGAATCGCCCACATCACCGACACCCACGTCGACCTCCAATACACGCCCGGCACAAGCACCCACTGCCGCAAGCCCATCTGCTGTCGCCAATACCACGCCCATGATGCCCCAGGCCGGTCCAAAACCCCATGCTCAACCTGGGGAAGCCCACACTGCGATCCTCCACTACGACTACTACACAACATGCTCTCCACACTACAATCACAACAACCACACCTAACCCTCTTCACCGGCGACATCGTCGCCCACGACATCTGGAACACAAGCCAGACATCAGTGCTAGCAAGCTTCAACGCGACCAACTCCGCCCTCCACACCCTACTAAACAACAACAACCACCACCCAATCTACTCCGCCATCGGAAACCACGACACCCACCCCGTAAACATCTTCCCAGGGAGTCTCAACATCCCAAAAGAACTAAACGTAGAATGGACCTACACCGCACTAACCACCCACTGGAGAACACTCCAAAACAACCCTACTTTAAAAACTACTACATCCGGCGCATACGCAACAACACATACCCTCCCTCCCACATCACCCACACAAGAACAAACCCAGCCCCCAAACCCGAAAATAAAAATAAAAATAATCTCCTACAACAGCAACCTCTACTACCGACTCAACCTCCTCTACACGACTCCCATGCCAGTCGACCCCATGGCCCAGTTCACGTGGCTGATCGACGAACTCCACACTGCGGAACAAGAGGGGGTTAAAGTCCTTTTGATAACGCATATCCCTATCTCGAGTAAAGATACTTTACCTGCGTATGCGAATTCCCTACGGGAAATACTCTATAGGTACAAGGATACAATCGTGGGTGTGTTCTGTGGTCATGGACATGTTGATACGTTTGGGGTGTTTTATCGTTCTCATTCTTCTGGTATTAGTAATGGGGGTGCTGGTAGTCGGGATAGTGATAGTGATAGTCATGAGAATCAGGGGCACCGGCAAGGGAAGATCACTGTGGAGAACAACAACATCAACGAGGTGACAGTGGAGAAAGGAGAAGTGATAGGCGTGGAGATGATGGCGCCGGCGATGACGCCTACGTCGGGGTATTCTGCTTTTAGGGTGTATGATGTGCAGTTTAGTGGTGGTGGGGATGGTGGTGGGTGGAAGGTATTGGATTTCGAGGAGTATGTTGCGAGATTCCCTCCGTTTGTACATGGTCTTCAGGGGGGTAGTGGTGAGATAGAACCGCAATGGTTCAGGTATTACTCTGCTATGGAAGCTTACGGGAAGTATGTCTATCCTAATGGGGCTGGTATCGGTACTAATGGCATTGGTGCTGGGGCGGAGGCTGGGGGCGGTGCTGCTGCTGCTGCTGCTGCTGGCATTGGACCGCACTTCTGGGCGAAGCTGACGGATGTTATAGAGACGGATTGGAATGTGTTTAACCAGTATTGGGCCAGACGGACTAGGGGGTACGATGTCTTAGTTTGTGGGAGGGGGTGTCGGGAGAAGGAGATTTGTCGGCTGAGAGGACAGGATTGTCAGTCTAAAAGGGGGATGGACGATGAGGCTATTCCTACGGATGTGGGAAGGGAAGGAAGCGCTCTGGCAAATTGGCTAAGACAGGTTCAACAGTCTTATTCTTCTTCTTCTTTCTCTTATTCATTCTAATCGTGATACATACACGTCAGTCATACTGCAGATAGATTCGTCCCCAGGACAATCTAAAGAATGTGTGTGTGTGTGTGCTAAGGTATAAACAAGAAATCAAAATCATCATATCTAAATCAGTCAATCAACGAGTGACAAGAAGGGTAAAATATTTCCGTTCCATCCCGGCCATCTACTGAATGTACCACTCCGCGCCTGTCAGGCGTCCCTCGGACTCGGTACCGAACTTCTTGAACAGCTTCTCCGACAGGTCGATCGACACATCGTCACAGCCCATGCACTTGTCCCAGACGGTGCCGTAGTCGGTCACACCGTTGTAGGTGATCTTCACGGTCTTGCCGCAGTCGCTGTCTTGCATGATGCCATGGGGAAGCGCAACCACCATGTCGGTGTTGCCGTTGCTGGTGATGCCGCAAGATCCCAGTCCAGCCACATAGTAGGTCAGATCACCCGTGCAAGGAGACTCGGAGGAGCAGCTACCGGAGTATCCACTGCTGCTGCCGCTGCTGCCACTGCTGCCGCTGGAGCTGGAGCTGGAGCTGGAGGCCGAGGTGGTGGCCGCAGCGGGAACGGTGGTAGTGGAGGGGGTCCAGGCGGGCTCTTGGCTGGTAGTGGAAGGAGTCCAGACAGGCTCCCATTCACTGGTGGAGCTGGAGCTGGTGGGGGCAGGAGTCCAGGCGGGTTCCCACTCACTGGTGGAAGTCGAAGTGGTGGAAGATGCGGGCTCGGGGGTCCAAGCAGCGCCCCAAGCGGTGGAGGTAGAGGTAGTGAAGGAAGAGGGCTGGTAGTTGACGGATTGCTCAGGCTGGCTGTTGCCGGGCACCTGGTATTGAGATTCGGGGGTAGGGCTAGCGGCAGCGGATTCGGTAGGGGCAGCGCCGTAGATGGTGGTGGTCACGTCGACAGTGGTCCAGACGACGGAGGTGACGGTCTGGTAAACAACTTCGGTTGAGCGCTTCTCAACAGGAGCAGCAGAGCCAAAGGCGGCAAAGAGAGTGCCAGCCAGGGCGAGAGACTTGGAAAGAGGAGCCATTGTAATGGATGTGGGTTGTTTGATATAGGATTGTGGTGGTTGTTTGGTGGAGTGATTTGCTTTTGGTCGACAATGTAGGGTCACTGTTTTCTTTTGGAAGGTTTGATGCTCTGGTCGACAGAGGAGTCTAAGGAATGCGTACTGCACAGCAGTATAGAGCAAAAAAAAACCCAAGGAATGAGGGTGGAAAGAAGGAATGACCGAGCGTCAAAGAGAGGACGGACTGTGAGGTGGAAGAGGAGAGGGAAAGAAGCAGGTGAGAAACGAAGGAGGGAGAGGGAGAGTATTTGTATTGGAATTGGAGCCAGTGGTATGTATGTATGGATGGATGTATGGTGTGTATGGTACCAATTGGTATGGGGGGGTGAATCACCGTCGGGATCCACCGCACCAACAAGTAACAACACCAAAGAATCCATCTTCCTTACCCTCACTCTCTGTCTCTCAATCTCGCTCTCTCATGAATGAAGCCTAGACTCCACTTAGTCCAATTACTTTTTTGACCCCCCCGACCCACACTCTTTCTTTCCCTCCCCCCACCGCCAACAGCTCGTGAACCCTCGATCTCCGCCAATGCCCGTTAAGCCCTTCACTGCCCGACCCTCACCGGTCTTCCCAGGGCAATCTCGTCCTCCATGGTTGGCAGTGGTCGGGCGCGGCCCGGAACCAGCGCAGCATCCTCCTCGGTCTGATTGGGGAGCTCTCCCTCGTACCTGACGCAGCCATCTCATCTTACAGCTGTTACCATTGAAAGAAGCAAATAAAGAACACGCAACAGAAAGTCAAAAAATACTCTACTTCCAGGCACACACCAATCTGGCAGGGTCTGGTCGGAATCCTCGGGGTCAGGCCCAGTAGTTTGGCTGATTGGCGGTTCGCATTGACGCCAGTGTCTCACCAAGCCGTGCCTGGATGGCACAGACACCTCTCACTGGCTGAACTGGGGCCAGAGTGGGCAGTTGTTCTTCGGATTGACTTTTGAGTAGTCTGCTGGTGCGTTAGTTCAGCCACGCTCTACCGTTCCTTGCCTGCACTGACTTTTTGGTTGGGGAAATTGGGAGAAACCGCCTTTCAGCTGGAAGCGTGCGGTCATGTTGCCTGCAGGGCTCTCTTTTCCGCTTCCTTCAGGGGGATCAGCGTGGCAATCCTTGGGTCGTTCCGCCCAAAAGGAGGGAAATTGGCGGTGCCTGACCACTAAGCCACTCGACACGAGAATACTAAATGGTGTTTTCCAAATACACAAAAAAAAGTCGAACTAGACTAGGCTGGACGGGACTGAAACTACAACAATCAGGTGCCGTCATCTGTTCAGGTCCAGGTTCAGGTTTCACCGGGCCGAATGTTGATGTGGCGAACTCGGCGGGTCTTGGAGCCCATCAAAGGGAACACGGCCTATTGAAGACCAAGTTGACGTGTCGCACATCCAGGCACCGACCAGTCACATCTCGTCAGCAGCATCTCCCCTTCGCTTTGTACACAGTCCATATTTCGTGTGGTGGGAGGAAAAGAGGGGAACCATCGTTTGTGGCAGGGATGTTGCCCTGATCTGACTTTTTTGCCCTACCGGTGGGCTACTGCAGGACAGTCCAGCCGCGTCCATTCGCAAAACGACTGTCTTATTCGGTTGTTTTGGTCTTTCTTTTCGCGCCGCTAATCTAATAGTGTGGTCTAGGCAGTCCAATCCTCGGGACGAACGCCACTGGTAGATGTGAAACACTCAATGGTGCTTTCGCACAATAAACAGTCAGTTCCATCTGATGGATCTGAAATCTGAATATCAGGCGAGACGCCAAGCCAGCCAACCGGACTCTATCGCAGGGCTCCATCGTCCGTTTCATCCGTCACTCGCGTGGCTTGATCATCCACCGAGTACTACGGTGTATCTACTATCTAGACTGACTTATGATGTGTAGTGCTGATACTTTAGATTCTACCCCTCTATCCAGTCGCGTACAGAATACATTCACTGTACATTACATCATTAACAAAGATCAACATTGATTGAATGCAGCATTGATAAGAATGAAGCGGAGGATATTTCCGCATTCCACCGATCATTTTTATCAAATTCTCCATTCCAATCACCATTCCGATCGTCCTACCCGAAATATTTCACAGAGTATCTTACTCAGAAGTATGTCCGACCTCCCATACTGTGTAAGTAAAAATGCACATCCATACCATCACCACACCACCACCAACAATCACGTCGCAACAAAACAACCCCCAAATTAATTAATAAACACAACATACAACACAATCCTTACCATCATCAACTAGACTAGATAACATACAGGAATCTACTACGGAGTTCACGGAATGACAAACACCCCCAAACCACCTGAAACCAACACAACCTAGACACTACTACCAGATATAGCATAACCACCACCGAATACTACCTACTACTAATCCTTCAGTCCCATTCAATACACGGTCCAACCTGGCATCATTAGGGTTCTCATCCACCCAACACCTACTATCACGTAGAAAAGCAGCTCATCGGCTTGCCGCCCCCAGATCCACCGCAATGGTTAAACACACTAGCCCCCAATGTTACTCAACTCAGCCTTGTTCGGCCTCGGTTAGGTGCAGATACTCGTGGGGATAAATATGCTGCTAGTAAGCTAAACTAAGCTATGTAGCTATGAAGGATGATGGAAAGGATGGGGATGAGAATAGTGTTGTTGGTAGGCACAGGTACCCGTTCATAAAGTTGTTGGATTTCGGAGTTGGATGGATAGTATAACCATTCCTTGTGGCAGCTACTAGTGAAGTAGGTGAAGGAGTAATTAAGACATCTTCCTACTTCCTTCAGATACATACAGCATACTCAGTAGGTAGTAATAAATACTAACCAACCAACCCATCTATACACATACACCCATTCAATAGGGTAGTAAGTAGTCAGTCAGTCAGTCAGTCAGTCAAGATAAGAATTCGCCAAGCTCTCACTCGTGATTTCATGTACATTCACAGGAAGCAGGGGTATAGCCACTATAGATAAATTAATTAATTACTCGGTTTCTGAGGGTGTTGAATTGGCGCTTGCAGGGGTATGCTACACTTGAGGAATAGAACATCACTACGTTAACTGGTTGGTCACAAAGTAGCTAACTTCGTACTGAAACGGCCCGATATGACTAAGATCTGACTGGGGACAAAACTGTCACAGATTCATCGTTAATGAAGTAGATCGTTAACTACCTTGTTACATAACTATAGTAATGAATTAATAGCTGAGCGACCTCACTAAGTAGCCAACTAGTAACTCACCATTAGACCATTAACCAACACAATGGACTCCTAATTATCTGAGTAACTAACTACCCATCTAACGTTATGAATTCATTAACTACGTAGCTAACAATCTAGCTGGAAGAGTAGGCGACGGAATAGAAGAAGTCGAAGATGTCACCCACACCCACACCCACAGCCTTACCCTTCCCATCCCACCCATGGAACCGACAACTTCCGATTCAACCAGCAAATAAACTCAACATCTGACATCCACCACATACTATTCTATCTCTAGATAGTCCAGATAGCCTTTCCCACCATTAACCTTCTAGACTCTACTCAACGTCATAGCAGAAAAGTCTATGATTCATCTCTACCTGTCAGGTGAAATATAAGATGATGCCTACATACCTGCACTAACTATTCCATTAACTGTTCTACTACTACCGCAAGGAAATTAATTGTATTCTGGACTGAAGTGATATTCACGAGTTAACTCGTATGTATATCCCATCATTTTTAAAATGAAGAAATGGATTAAAGATAACTGACCAATGAAATAGGAAGTTGGACAAAATGGACTCCATCAAGAAGAACCTTGAAACCGCCAAGAACAAGGGCCAGGATTACTATAACCAGATGATGGGACAGCAGCAGAGTATGTCGATTTCTTTCCTTTGTTATTGACTAGGGGAATTGGAAGGGAAAATCGGAGTAATGCTAACGGAGATACTCTGCTGGTACAGACTCCGATGCCTCCCAGTATGCCCAAGACGCCAAGAACAAGGCCAACGAGGGCATGGATAAGACCAAGCAGACGGCTAAGGATTATATGCCCGATCAGGCCGGGGATCATTAAATCATCCGCACAGTTGGTATAGGCTAATAGGCTAGCTACTAAAGAATGAATATAATATAATATAGTCAGATAAATCTTATAATACCGAAGAAAACCATAACAGTAAATACAGTCATTTCCCATAAACCATGCGCAAGAAGCAAAAAGTATCCATCAATCTCGTGATATAATTACAACCCTGACGCCAAGACAATCAATCAAACCGGACCAAGTCAGACAAGGAAAGAACACGAGGTATGTGCTTAACCCTGGCACATAATGCATGCCTCCTTGTTCTCAATGCTGCACTGGAGCACCTGCTGCGAGTAGATGTCGTTCTCGCGCTCTTCGCTCTCCTGCTGGCTGTCCTCCTCCTGAGGGCCGTTCTCCTGAGCGGAGGCATCAGCAGCAAGAGCCCGAGGGCTGCCGTTGGTGGAGCCGTTGACACCATTGGCACCGTTCTCGCTGTGTCCGTTGACCGGGGCCTGGCCACGGGGAACAGCAGAGTACGTGCTGGAGGCAGCGCCAACAGCCCGCTTCTTGTACGCAGCATTGGTGCGGGCCACGTTGGTGTCCTCGACCTTGAGCTGCTCCTGGTCGACGGTGAACTGGATGGGCGCAGAGGCGGCCATCGTGCGCAGGTAGTACATGCCCGTCTTCAGACCCATCTTCCAGCCGGCAAAGTGCATGCTGGTGATTTTGCCCATGGTGGGCTCCTTCAGGTGGATGTTGAGGGACTGAGACTGGTCAATGAACGCACCACGGTCCGCGGCCATCTGCAGGATCGTGCGCTGGGAGATCTCCCACACCGTCTTGTACAGCGCCTTGATGTCACTGGGGATGTTGGGGATGTTCTGGACGGAACCACCCTCGGCAATGATGCGGTTCTTCATGTTGTCCGACCACAGGCCGAGATCGACCAGGTCCTTCAGCAGCCACGGGTTGACCACCTGGAACTCACCAGCCAAGACACGGCGGGAGTAGATGTTGGAAGTGTAAGGCTCGAAGCACTCGTTGAAGCCCAAGATCTGACTGGTACTGGCAGTGGGCATGGGAGCGACCAGCAAGCTGTTGCGGACACCAGTCTGGGCGATCTTGGCCTTGAGGGAGTCCCAGTCCCAGAGGTCAGTGGGAGTGCGGTCCCACATGTCGTACTGAAGGATACCCTGGGAGACAGGAGATCCCTCGTAGGTCTCGTAAGTTCCGAACTCCTTGGCAAGATCAGACGAGGCGGTCAAACCAGCGTGGTAGATGGTCTCAAAGATCTGGATGTTCAGCTGTCTGGCCTCGGCCGAGTCGAAGGGCAGGCGCAGAGCGAGGAAAGCATCAGCCAGACCGTTGACACCCAGAGCAATGGGACGGTGACGGAAGTTGGACTTCTTGGCCTCCGGGACGGGGTAGTAGTTGATGTCGATGATCTTGTTCAAGTTACGGACCAAGACCTGGACAACCTCGTGGAGCTTGCCAAAGTCATACTCGCCGCGAGCAGCGTCGACGAAAGTAGGCAGAGCAAGAGACGCAAGGTTACAGACAGCAACCTCATCCGGAGCACTGTACTCAATAATCTCGGTGCAGAGGTTGGAGCTACGGATGGTTCCGAGGTTCTTCTGATTGCTCTTCTTGTTGCAAGCATCCTTGTACAGCATGAAGGGGTTACCAGTCTCGGTCTGAGCCTCCAGAATAGCGTACCACAGCTTCTGAGCCTTGATGGTACGACGGCCACGGCCTTCTTTCTCATACCTGCAATACTATTAGCATAGGTTGCGATTACACGGACCAACAAACTTACTTCTCGTAGAGAGCATCGAACTCATCACCGTAGACATCAGCCAAGCCAGGGGCTTCGTTGGGGCAGAACAGAGTCCAGTCACCGTTCGCCTCAACACGCTTCATGAACAGATCCGGGGTCCACAGGGCGTAGAACAGATCACGGGCTCTGACCTCCTCCTTACCGTGGTTCTTACGGAGATCCAGGAACTCGAAGACATCCGAGTGCCAGGGCTCAAGGTAGATGGCGAAAGCACCGGGGCGCTTGTTGCCACCCTGGTCAACGTATCTGGCAGTGTTGTTGAAGACACGAAGCATAGGAACAAGACCGTTGGAGGTACCGTTGGTACCACCAATGTAGGAGCCAGTAGAACGGATGCGGTGCACGTTCAGACCGATACCACCGGCCGTCTTGGAGATCATAGCGCAAGTCTTCAGAGTGTCGTAGATACCGTCAATGCTGTCCTCCTTCATGTCGACGAGGAAGCAAGAGGCGAGCTGGGGCTGGGGAGTACCAGCGTTGAATAGAGTCGGGGAGGCGTGAGTGAAGTACTTCTGAGACATCAAGTTGTAGGTCTCGATGGCCTTCTCGATGTCGCTGCCGTGGATACCAACGGCAACACGCATCAGCAGGTGCTGGGGACGCTCGGCTACCTTTCCGTTGATCCTCAACAGGTATGACCGCTCCAACGTCTTGAAACCGAAGAAGTTGTAGTTGAAATCACGGTCGTATACAATAGCCGAGTTGAGTTCGTCGGCATGTTTCATAATTATTTCGTATGTCTCCTTTGATATCATTGGTGCAGGAGCATTGTTTTTGGGGTTGACATAGTGGTAGAGATCTGAGATGACCAAAGAGAACTGCTTCTTGGTCTGCTTGTGGAGGTTGGAAACGGCGATACGGGCAGCGAGAATGGCGTAATCAGGGTGTGTGACAGTCATGTACGCAGCAGTTTCGGCAGCCTAAGTCAAATTATCAGCACTTGCTCTGCCAATTGTAGCCGCTGTAAACCTACCAGGTTATCGAGTTCAACGGTGGTGACACCCTGGTAGACACCAGAGATGACCTTCTGGGTAATGGCAGCGGCATCGACATGCTCAGGGTCAAGTCCGTAACACAGCCTCGACACACGAGCAGTGATCTTGTCGAACTGCACGCGTTCTTTGCGTCCGTCTGTATTCAAAGTTAGCACTGACGGTTGCAAGGGTGGCAAGGTCCATTCCGCTCAATGGACGGGCATCCATTCCATCCAAAGCAGGGAATCTTGTGCAACTCGTACTGACCTCTCTTGTAGACAAACATTTTGGACAGTGAGGTTATAGACAACGAGAAAAGAAACTAGAACAAAGGGTATATGGAAATGATATTAGGGTAGTAGAGAAAAGAAGGCTTGGATATGTATAAGAGAGGATTGAGAGGAGAAATCGTCACAGAAAGAATGTCCTGAAGACAGGAGCTGAGGGAGGATGAGAGAATGAGAGGAAAGAGAAGACGGAGGGGCAGAAAGATGGGAGGAGATATTTGATGTCGCCGGGGCAAACGCGTTACGGTGGATATCCACGCGAATTTTCGTGTTTGGACTAAATGGGTTGCCCTTTGCATACGAGCCCGCTGACTGGTGCGCCGCCAATCTTTGTCCGGCTGGCGGGAACGCGCGACGAGCGCAGTCACGTGTGGGTTTTCTTTCAGTTCACGCCACGTCCCTCAGCAAATGCCGTGCTTCTTACAAATCAGCTCCGAGCCTCGGACACCGTATATCCGTCTGCAGGATATGGTTTCCGCCGACCTTCGACTACGTACCATCATGATTCCCATGCAACCTAAGCCCCACTTGGATATATTACGTATGAACTTTCCGCCTCCCAGCGGGTTTCGGAGAGCTGCCTACGGATGCCTACACCGGTGGAGAAGACGCGGTTAAAGTGACGCGGTCTGCGCCCAATATGTACTCAACATCATTGATGTCGAAGGGTTCAGAGCCTTGTCTGAGATAATATACGAAGCGGACTAACTGGATCTATAACGTCGCCGCAAATCCGACAAAAACAACGGCCGCAAACGCAGCAGCAGACGCGCCACGGTCAGCCGATCCCAACGAAATGGTCTCATTAGGATGAGTGCTGGGACAAGCACTAGAGCTGGCATCGGGGACAGAGCTCGAAGTGGAGATGCCGGTTGAACTAGCTATGACGGAGCTAGGCTTGGTCGGGCTGAAAAGAGCGGTGGAATGGGATGCGATGCCGGACGAGGTTGTTGGTAGGTATGCTGCATAAGTAGAGTCAAATGTCTCTCATCTTTGGCACAGCGTCATTCAAGTTCAAAACATACCAATTGTGTAGCCTGCAGATGTACAGGTGTCTTTTAACTGCTCCAGAGCCAATTGTCTCTCGTCCCCGCAAAACTCCACGATCTTGGCCCAAACCTTGCCTACGTTCGTCGCACAAATATCTTGGAGGTTATCAGAATCCGATTGAGACCTATACTGGGTTAGCAGGAGACCAAACTAAGTGCAGCTATCTCGCTGTCACAGTTATACCTCGTGGCAGACACCAAACATGGCGGGGTCTGTGTAGCTACGCTGAGGCCTCCAAAGACCAGGAATGAGACGAGGAAAGCAAAATGAGCGAACAACATGATGCTATCGAGCTCTCAGAGGTCAAGCAACAAGCATATGAGAATCAGATATGAGAAAGGCAACAAAAGAACGTAACAACGAACGACTATCCAAGCATTGGCTGGATGTAATGCAACTACAGTAAAAGAGAGACTGCTGAGAAGCTAAAATTGTCTATGGAAAAGTGACTAGGGAGGATAAGAGTGACCAGCGTACTGATATAAAGGAGAGTGAGGCCAGACCACTCCGCCCCATGAGGCATCGACCCTGCCGATCCATCCTTCATTTCGCGGCCGGGAGTTGAAGTCTTGGCCAATGGCCCGAAGACTCGGGTGGAGTCCGCCAGGGACCAGCTCGGCTAGCGCCCGGGCCTCACTCCTATCCTTCTAGTGGACATGAGGAATAGTTATTTGTATTCATGAGTTAGTAGGTACTCGGACTGTATCCGATGAGCATGCTCTTAGCGTACCTCTTAATTTCCTCATTACCAAGTTGATACATTATCTTTACTCCCTTCCATGGTAGCTAACTATTCACCAAACTCCATAAAGCAATAGTCGGAATATCTGCAATACCAAGTGACCAATAATTATCATTTAAAAAAGCAGATACAAACTCACAATGACAACGTCCTCACCTATATAATGAGTCCAAGGTAAGGAGCCGGCCTACTTCCGAACAAGCTGCATCTTTTGGAGGGAGATTTAGTACGATCCCTAAGGGTAATACTTATAATCTAAGAGCAGTTTGCACTGTTTTCTAGGAAGGATCTTTCACCCTAAACCCTCAAAAGCCCGTAATAATCATAAGCAGCAAGTTTCAACAATGCTCTATTTCCAGTAGACATTTGACGATTAGGGAAGGGATCCTCTGCATCTGCCCTTGCGGCAAATGCAATACAAACTGTAACACAGCAGCCTTGGTTTCGATATTCAATATGGTATTTAAGCAGGTAATGTTAATATCAGGGAAAGTGATGTGTGTGTGTGTGTGTGTGTGCTGGTGCTGCAGGGTTGCTTGTAGTTAGGTGCATAAGGGGTTACTTGCATACCTACAACGGTCAATTGATCGGGCCAGGAAGTTGATTCCTGCTGTTCTAGCCACACACAAGCCTATAAAGTGGTGTATTTCTTCAGAAAAAGCATGTCCTTTTCTGGTATATTCCCTGAATTCTCCACTTTATTGCAGACTTTAGCGCGGTGAGTATATCTGCCCATCGTGGAGGCATATAGCAAGCGTGGTAGTGGGTTACTTTTCACAAAGTCTGGAGTTTCCCCGAGGAGGTGTATGACTGGGCTGTGTTGGGAGTTCCAGGTTACTCTTCCTTTTAGAGAACCCTCGGTTGATATTGAGTGTACTTTTTCCAGCTATTCTAGTTTCCGGCAGTTGGGATAGAATACCAGAGGGTGATTCTTGTTCTTGGCTAAGTTTGGTAGGGGCAAAAGGTGTATAGAGCAGACGTAGCCATTCGAATATGGGCTAGGATGCCGGTATCGATACTACTCAAATGGTTTAACAAGTGCAAGGATGCTCGATTTCAGAGAGATAGTAAATTCTTTCTCCAATGTTTATTCAATGCAAGTCTTCAATTGCTAATGACCTCTCCATGCATGTCGTATATCCAAGAGTCTGGGTAATCATAAGTATAAGTCTAGTAAGCATCGAGTCTTGACCAACGTCTATAACTCTAAAATCTCCATCCACCCAAATATCCCACTCACGCATCCCACGCAAGATCAAACCGACTGACAACCAGCTCTTGCAAATCCAACCTATAATCAACAATCTCCTTCCCATTGACCAAATCATTCTCCAAAACCCTCTTCTCCGCCTCTGCCTCATCCCTCGCAATTCCAGCCTTAACATGCCTCCTAATCAACCTGTTCTTCGCAACCTCGAAATCCACCTCCACAAACCACAACTCATCCATCAACTCCGCCGCGCGATTCCACGGCTCCTTATTCAAACTCAAGTAATTCCCCTCGAAGAATATCACCCGACACGACGCCGGGATCAATATATCGTCATCAACTGGGTCCTTTACCGCATGATCAAAGCTCGGTGCATACAGACTCTGCGTCTCGGGCGTCACCTGCTCCCGCAGCGCCCGGACCAGCTGCAGAAACTTCTCCCCGTCAAAGGTGAATGCTGCGCCGCGGCGCGCGATGGCATACGCCGGGTCGGGCATCTCGGATAGTTGTGCCCGGGTTAGATGGTAGCCGTCCATGGGCACGTTGGTTGCGACTTGTGGTGATTCGGGGTGTTGCGTTAGGTAGCGCCGGTTGATGCGGTTGGCCATCATGGTAGCCAGTTCTGTCTTGCCAGAGCCGGGTATCCCGCTGATGGCGATTAATAGGCGGGTGTCTTTGGGTGTGGATTGGAATTTGTCTGGGGAAACCTGGTTAGTTTTTGCGGGGGTGATGGGGTGCTGATTGCGGAGCATTGTTGCCCTCCTTCGTCCGGGGAAGAGATAGATGACTTACTCCAGATTTTATCGACTAGTCGGCTCACTTGGTCGTCCATTATTGATGTGTATATTATTTATAGGGGGAATAGATACGAAGAAAGTGAACTGGGGAAGAAGGTATTATATGGATTCAAGGAAAGAGATCCGTGGTCCCGTGCATGCAAAGATTGGGGACGCTTTGAAGAGCGGAAGATGGTGGATGGGAGTTAAGAAGTTTGCTATGGGGAAAACCAGATTCGAGAGACTTTTCCTCGGTACCTGTACCGAGTGATGGGCGACAAACAGGAGGATGGCAGTTCTGGGAGACAGCGAGAAGCTCCGACGGCGGGCTCGATGGGATAAATAAGTCGGCGGGGCTTGTCGTCAGAGTGGGGGCTCGCGATCGCATTGACTCCGGCCGGGCCAGCGATAGTGAGATACGTCACAGGGGACCGGCTAACTTATCAGGCACCGTGTGGTTATACTTTGTAGGCTGTGGATGAAGTAAACTCGTCATGTTTTTGGGTATTGTTTGTATATCTCAAGATTCCAGCTGGTGGAGCATAGATGGTAATGCTTATGTGGGATATTCAAATGCCGTTCTCAGTGCCATTCAAGGAACAACTGGTCAATGCATGAGGTCACATGTCCACGGCTAGCAGCAACTTGAAGTATCCCATCCCAGGTTAAGCTGATACGACTCCTACTATTTCCAATACCTTAATTAAATCACACCAAATGACATTAGACAAGCCAGGTTATATGAGTACAATATGTGCCCGGATATGCACTTTAGATCAATTCCATCTCATAATGGGTAATTCCCGTCCATAACTGATTCAGCCGATTGACCCTGGCTGAGACACCATAACGCCAAACAAGAGACCCCCGCTAAGAACAACTCGAAACCACAAGCATCCCCAGATGACCTATTAACTAAATTCTCGGTATCTAACACAGTGACAGAAAGGTACATGATCATCTCGACCTGAGCGGTCCATCCACGCTATCAGTGTCGTTAGTGTCATCGTTCGCGCCGAGCCGGCGGCCAAGGGTGCGGGACAGTCCAGCTGCCGCCCACCATTCTTCGGGGATATCCTCGCGACGCGCAAGTCGATCTAAGATGGCTTGCATCTGCTGCAGGTCTGGATCGGTAGAAGTAGAAGAGGAATCGGAGAATGCAAAGGAAATGGTAGGAATAGGAGGGTGGTTGCTCATGGTTGACTGGAGATGCTGAGCACGTCTCAGTGACTCCATCTGGCGAACACGACGGTAGCGGCGGAACAGTGCATTGGAAGAGATCCCTGTTTCGGAATCGCTGTCGGAATCGCTGGAGCTTGAATAGTCACAGGGATTTAAGAACTCGGGGTATGGATCAAGAACCATCTGGACAGTGCCCGTGCCCGTGCCTGATTCCATAGGGTTGGACATCTGCAGCGAGGTTGCCGAACTTGTGGATGTCCCGACGGTCGAAGCATTCGTTCCAGAAGCCGATGCGGACGTGAAGGACGAATCAGCACTAGGAAGATTGGTATCCGGCGTGATCGTGGTAAGGAGAGTCTCCCATGCATCGTTGGCATGATCGTCATCGGGACTCAGACTTCTCTGTCGGTCGCCAAGACCATCAATAGCCGACTCGCGGTTGGGACGATTCGCCTCATTGATCGATCGTTCACCGACACGTCGCAGGGTAGGGAAGCCCGCCGAGATCGAAAGATCGGTTCCAAGACCATCGGGTCGAAGGAATGGAGATAGACGAGCAGCTTCTGGGCGCGCTTGGGGAGACGCGGTCCTATGGTATGCAATCGCAGGAGCAAAACGCGGTGTGAACTGGGGATGAGTCTGGTCAGGCCGGTTGGTTGTGTCATCACCCGGCGATGGACGATTGTATAGATCGGGCAGGGCCGAGCTGCGCGGTATCCTCAATCGCTGACCAGGCCGCCCATGACGGAGCGCATCGCTCAGCAGTCGCTGGCCGGCTTCGCGTCTATCGGACTCCAGGAGGCCGCGGGCCAGGTCGAACGGGTCGTCGGCGCTGCTAGAGTTCGAAAGCGGAGAGCGCACATGACGCTGAAGACCATTCGCCTCACGCTCAATCTCATCTACTAGCGGACGAGGGAAAGGCGACCGGAGGGTTGCGCTGCGCAAGGCGGAGCCGCCATAGCGCGAGGGACGACGAATACTAGCCTGGCGACGAATTGCGGAGCGCGCAGTGGCACACGGGTCTTTGACGGGATTGTTCTTCGGAGCATCTGCGGAGGACTCGCAGAACAGTCTGCATCATGTCAGTCAGATATGACAGCCGTTCCGTGCGCTCTTGGCCGACGGAGTCGCGCGTAGAATCCCGACAGCGGCGAAAGTTGTGTAGGGTAAGAAATTGTGGACTCACGGAATACCCATGGCTACAGAGGATGAGAAAAGAAAGGATAGGGAGCGACGGTCCAGGCAGGAAGGGAGATCAAGGAAAGAAGCCGCATCCAGAAGTAGCGTGAAGTGACGCGAGTCCTTAAATGGAGAGGGCCAGATTGCGGGGACAGCGACCAGGGCGATGTGTTGATGGAGAAACGGCGAGATTTGGTTTTCCTCGTAAGGGTAAAAAGCGGAGGCGAAGAGATTTCGCGCCTGAGGCTTGCGGTCGTAGCGCCGCGGGTTGGCCTGAGGGAAACATTGGGGGATTCTGGGTGGCTGGGAGAACCGGTGGTGGCGCCCTAATGATCATCCGCGTACAATCTGGTACAGCGCCTAAAGGCTGAAGGGAGGAAAGAGTGAATGATCAATGAGTTGTCAATTGAGATGAATCGTGACCACTGAATGTTTCACTGACAATGGCATTGATCACAATGCAGCTGATTGACTATTTCCATGGATCAACTTCGAGTAGTATACTCCCTCAGCGTTACTCTGCCAGATTGATACCATTACCTGGATTATTGTCCCTCCGACTGGGGATATTACGTACGGTAACGACCGCTTCCGGCCTCGGCTCTCCTTGCCTTAGGCATTGATCCTTATCGGTCGGCACCTGACAGCTCCCCGATGATTATCTTGTCCGAATCCCGCGGGTAACTCAGATCGGCGCAAGTTTTCTGGAGGTCAAATTGATAACACACTTTTCCCTTCCATGACCACCTCGTCCCTCATCTTCCTCTGATCATGAGGATTGGTTCTTTTCAACTATCAATCATCACACACTCGGAGGGATGATTGAGCTCGGTCTTAGTCGCATAGTCCGCCTTCTCCAGCAGACGCCGCTGACTTGGAAGGCTATCCATATCGCTGGCACCAATGGCAAAGGGTCCATCAGCGCTTATCTCTCCCACCTGTTGTCGACGGGTGGTGTTCGCTGTGGCCGTTTCACCTCCCCGCATCTGATTGATCGTTGGGACTGCATCACTATCGGCGAAAAAGTCGTTCAAGAGTCACTCTTCCGGCAGATCGAAGCCAGAGTCAAGCTTCGAGATCAAACGCTGGGAATCGGTGCGAGCGAGTTTGAGCTACTGACTGCAACTGCATTCGAGATATTCAATCATGAGCGCGTTGACATTGGGGTGGTGGAGGTGGGCATGGGCGGTCGCCTGGACGCAACGAACATCCTGACCGACGTCTTGGTCTCCGTCATCGCGAAGATAGGCCTGGACCATCAGTTCCTCCTCGGCGATACTATCGAGGAAATCGCAAGGGAAAAGGCTGGAATCATGAAATCGGGTGTTCCATGTGTTGTAGATGGTACCAATTCGCCTGAAGTGCTCCGAACCCTCGAAGACCACATCAAGGAACTCGGCATCGACGCGATCTTCACACGCCCCGATACTCCAGAGTATCACTCCCCATCGCTCTGTCGGCTCTTTGCTACACTCGATCTCCTACCTCACCAGCGAGCGAACATGTCCTGTGCGGTTTCGGCCTTGAAACTTGCTCTGTCTCTATTCCGTCCCGACATCGACGTCGATGTGCTCGTTCCACAACTGTCAAAAGTCGAGTGGCCGGCGCGCCTACAAAAGCTTGTTCTGAAACCATTGGCAGATCGTGAAGAGCCTGTTCTGCTGGATGGTGCCCACAATACTCAGTCGGCGGAGGTTCTCGGAGAGTATGTGGATTACAAACTTCGTCCGCAAGGTACGAACGTCACCTGGGTTATCGCGGCCTCCCGCGGTAAGGATATAGAATCCTTGTTTCATTCTATAATCAAGGCGGGCGATCGAGTCGCGATCACCGCGTTCGGACCCGTGGATGGCATGCCCTGGGTCAAGGCCAATGATCCAGAAGAGGTGGCTTCTTGTGTCCGATCAATCGCGGGTATTGGACAAGTGCAAACCTTTGGGGAAGACATTTCCGGCGCTATCCATTGGGCTTGTGAACAAGCTAGTGACGGCCCATTGGTCATTGCTGGCAGCCTCTACCTGGCGTCGGATGTTCTACGTCTTCTCCGGGAAGCACAAAAGCAATTATAAGTCATGGCATCAGGACCAATGGTCTTTAGTGACAGAGATACCCTTTTCCATCCGCAGCGTTTTGGCGTATCTGTAAGTATATAAGCATACATTAGTTAGTTTAACGGAAGTGGATTTCCTGTTCCGAGGACCTAATCTTGTAAATCACCAATGCGCAAACCAGTCTTGCGACCTGCATATATACAGTGCAGCACTACATTGCAGTAAGAAATAACACATCAATACCATGCTACGAGTTGCAGAGGAATAATTGCACAGCTCGCATCATCGCGGGTGTAAGTGATACGGTGATAAGGCTGATCGGAGATCCAGCAGCGGCCGGGCGCTGCGTCATGGCCTAAGCCAGCTGGTGGTGGTCTGTGGGGAACAAGAGAAAAGGAAAGTTCAAAACACCCGCCTGTATTGCATTTGCTCCGGTAGGCACAGCAGTCCGTGACTTTTCGTCGGTCCTTTCGCAAGCATCTGGTTGGATATCCGTGAGTCTTTCTGACAAGCGGACGATTGGATTTGCTTTTCTGGAGGGGAAATTCGATGTGTAGAGACGCGTTGAACCGGACGCGGCTCTCTCTTGACTGCGAGGACAAAGATCGTTCCTGTATGTTTTTTTCTTTCGTCTGAATCCACCATGAGATCATGCCATATTTTCTGCGGAGTTCAGCGCAGATTTATCTTCCTGCTGCATCTTATAATGTGTCTGAAACCTACTAACAAGATCTCTACTGTCTGGATAAATAGTTCGTGCTGACATGAACGATCCGATCGGTTCTCTGGCGCCTGCCTTTTCTACACCTTCCCTCGTCGTCTAAGCCTACAGTTGTCGGATTCCGAGTGCATCCAGCTGCTGAGTGTCAGTTTAAACAAACAGCGAAAAGGGGACCTCGATCCACCCGCTGCGCGACCATGGTTTCCCGGTCCAGCGAAGCCAGTGAGGGGCCGCCGCCACCTTCCAAGGCCTCCGGTACTCCAGCCAAAACGCGACTGTCGAGACTCAACTCCAGCCCGGCCAAACAGGACAAGCCGAAGGATGATAGGGTTGTCAAATCGTCTGCTAAGGATGTCGCGGAGCTTAAGGATTATGTATGGATAACGGCTTTCCCTGGTTCCCGTGATGGGAGTGGCTAATGGTGACTTAACGTAGCAATTGGGCGACTGCCTAGGTAAAGGCGCCTTTGGGTCGGTCTACCGGGCCTTGAATTGGAATACCGGGGAAACGGTCGCTGTGAAGCAGATCAAATTGGTGGATCTGCCGAAGAGTGAACTACGAGTGATTATGGTAATATCCCTCTCCGGTCGCCGCTTGTCGAGTCGCTGTCCGCTAACGCCGAGTGTTGCAGTTGGAAATCGATCTCTTGAAGAACCTAGATGTGAGATGCGACATCCGATCATGTCCCTTGTCACCCGAGCTGACCTGTGATTGTAGCATCCCAATATTGTGAAGTATCAGGGGTTCGTGAAGTCTGCGGAAACTCTAAATATCATTCTTGAGTATGTACCTTCGCATTGATTGCTGAAGCCATGATCCGTGTAGCTGACGAGACAGATACTGTGAGAATGGATCTCTCCACTCGATCGCAAAGAACTTTGGGCGTTTCCCGGAAAACCTGGTTGGTCTCTACATGTCTCAGGTGCTCCATGGTCTCCTATATCTGCACGAGCAAGGTGTCATCCATCGGGACATCAAAGGAGCCAACATCCTTACAACGAAAGAAGGTCTAGTCAAGCTTGCAGATTTTGGTGTGGCCAGCAGGACCACTGGGCTTAGCGAGTCCAGCGTCGTTGGGACGCCGTATTGGATGGCTCCGGAGGTGATTGAACTTTCTGGTGCGACGACAGCTTCAGATATTTGGAGTCTTGGTTGTACCGTGATCGAGCTTCTGGAGGGTAAGCCTCCTTACTACAATCTCCAACCTATGCCGGCTCTATTCCGCATTGTCAATGATGACCACCCTCCCCTTCCTCAGGGTGCTTCTCCGGTCAGTTTCCTGTCCCTTTCTCCGTTCTCAATATCTCATTAGTATCCAGGCTGTCAAAGACTTCTTGATGCAATGCTTCCAAAAAGATCCCAATCTTCGTGTTTCCGCCAGGAAGCTCCTTAAACACCCATGGATTGTCAACGCTCGCAGGTCTGATTCCGTGGTTCCCAAGAAATCCACCGAGTATGAGGAAGCAGTCAAGAGTGTTCAGGAGTGGAACGAAGCTCTCCGTTCTCCGGATACTGGAACCCTGCGGAAGCCGTACAGATACGACGCTCAAGGTGCTGCTCTGCGCCCCGAAATGGCTCCATCTCGGTATACACCAACAAAGGATATTCTTCCCAGCCCGGTGTCCAAGCATGTGACAGATCGGTTCCGCTCGCCGGACTCCACGGAAGAAGACAATTGGGATGATGACTTTGCTACTGCCATCTCTCCCAGCGCGCTGCAGCTTCCCCACCTTCGACCACAAGACAATTTTGGCGGAATGCTTTCCTCCGAAAAGCTGAAGGCGTTTGCATCCCTAGATGGTACAGTGCTGAAGTCAGAAGACGGCTTTGATGACTTCGATGATCCTTTCTCTCAACAGCCCGGTGAATCGGATCCTCTTCGGACCATTCGCCCTTACTCGGCCAAACCAACCGGGATGGAGAACATGCCACAGCAGACAAAACCCACAATAACTGCAATGCACCACAATGTACCTGTTCTCAAGACCCCTGTGCCACCTTTAAGACCGCAGCGCCCGACATCGTATTTCAAGGAGAACTCGGTTGAAGACTACTCCGACCTCATCTCTGCAAATGAAGATATCTTGGATGATAAGCTCAGTGCTTTCCAGGTAAGAATATCCCCTGCTGGGTTATTAGTATGCGTCTTCTTATGCGTCTTAGGATATCGACGAAGAGGGCAGCGATATATCGATCCCCTCACCTTCGAAGGAGGTAGTCCGGTATCAGGCATCACCGGATCGTGATGAAGATCATCAGCCGCAGCTTAGGAAACGGATATCTGTCAAGCGCCACCGATCAGCAATAGAAATACAAAAGTTCGCAGAAAATGAGCGAGACGAAGACTTCTCTGACATTCTAGGAGCTGATGAGGTTGCCTTGGATAAGCCCGAAAGCGATGAGGGCTCAGATCGGAGTACGCT